TTTTACAGATATGTGACCTTTCATTTGATGTAGCCACGGATGTGGAGCGAGCGACATCGTCATTCAGGGGTTCACAACTTACATTTGATGTAGCCACGGACGTCGAGCGAGCGACATCGCCATTCAGGGGTTCACAACTTACTTTTCCAGGAGGTTGCCTTGTGACCCTCGCGTGTGCTCGTAACGGGTTGTGTGCTCGTAACCGGGTTTTCTGGAACATGGAAATGAGGCGTATCTTGTCCCCACGGCACTGTTCCGTCCGTCAAAAGAGCTGTGTGCAGAGGCTGCTCAGAACGGGGAGGAGCGTAAATGTCGAATCGCTTATCTAAAAGATGCGATGCGCTGAAGGGACGGACATGGCAGACCTTTCGGTGAAGTAGCTATTCGTGGACACTTTGTGTTGCATGAGTTATAGAAGTTAGAAGTAACTTGTAGCGAGAAGGCTTTCATTAAGCAGACTTAGTAAGCAGCAATCTGATATACAATTTTGGCCGTTGAATGTTTGTTTATGTCTGTTTGTGTATGTTTCAACTATGTTTGTTATGTTTATGTTTCAATGTTTTTTCATTCAATGTCCCTATGTTTCAACAGCCTCGCCATCAGTAGCAGAAGCTTAGCTGCCACTCTGTACGGTACGAGAGCGTGCACAAACTTTTTAATGCCGCATTTACAAGAAATATACGACAAAATATTTCCTACCGGTTGTAGACGAGGTAGAGTCAGTCTGTTCTCTTCCGATTCCAAAGACCAGGAAATGCTGTTTGGCACTGAGGATCTCTGAAACAAATTGGATACGTTTAACGGATACCTTCTCGGTATCGCACGCGCGCTTTTATGACGTTTCTATAGCGGTGTATAATACCCGCACGATAAATCACTAAGTATGCGGGCAATCGTTATCTTCATAAAACGCGAAATGGTGCATTACACTGCCTCACAGTGTCCTAAAAAGACAACGAAAATTGCTTCAAGGGCTGAGAAGGTGGCCGCTGGTGGAAAGTCAGTGCAATGCATTCATACCGTGGCGCAAATAATCTGGGCCGAAAGCCAAGCTGCCCTTTGGTGAACTACATGCAGATTACTTCATATACGAACGCCATCATCGCCTCAGCCGACCCAATGGCTGTGGCGATGCATTCATTCACGATGTGCAACTGATTGCAGCGATTGCTGTTTGAATCCAATCCACCGGGTTTGGCATGGTGATCTTTTACTCACCCCAAAGGAGGACAGCTGTCACTACAATCACCAAGAAGTTGAAGATCCATAGGATGCAGCACATGCAGCACCTCCTTCTTCTTTGTAATCGTTCATTGCTGACGGGCGAAGGAGAGGGCATGACCATTACTGATAACATAATGCCACGAGGCGACCTTCGTGCAAACTTTGTTTTCGGCGTCGTTGTGTGCGTTGTGTGAAGATTTCTGGCAAATGTCACTTTTTCTGGCCATTTGCTCGATCTGTTCACCCATGTAAAATCAAGTGGAAAGTGCTGACTGAAATTGTAGATATGCCCTGTGATACAATTAATGTTCACGGCGTTGCTGGCACTAGTTAGAAGGCTGCATAACATCCGGTGGCAGCTCATACGTTAGTAAAGTGGTCAGCAAGACGAAAAATATGGTGTATATCTTCTGGTGGTATCATCTCCATTGGTGTAAATATCTGACATACTCGACAAGGGCGGCGCTCCAGTCAACTTCAGAGTTGTTGGCCGTCCAGCCTAGCTTCAGTCGACCGTTACCTGGCTCCTGGGCACCCGAAGGAAGCAAACATCAGGAGCGTCAGCAGGTGGGGTCAGCTCATGCGAACCCAGGCTCGGGAGGTAAGGCATGCGGTGGATACGGGTGCCAGTTTACAAAGCCTGTCATTTTCAAAACATCGCGTTGTTTTGAAACAATCGCCGCTGCTGCAAAGTGCTGGATACTGAACTAAATTGGGTTTGGACGCTGGCTGGGCCGTGTCGCAACTATTTTTCATCAAGAAAACACGGTAGCGATATGCTGAGATCATCACACACCGAGTTCAATTGCATTTTTACCACGAAGCTTAAGCGGAGTGGTGGCCCATGACAATGCTCTGTTATAAGTTCCAACAGACGCAAAGACGACAACCCTGTGCGCCTGTGTAGGCTGATACGTGCGCCTACGCGCCCGTGCGTCATTGATGGTGCATACCTCGGCCATCTCTAAGCTCCTCAACGAGCTCTGGGGTGCGGTGTACAATACATTGGTGTGTGTGGCATTGTCAGCGTGGTTGTGGAGCCGCTTCAGCTGCAAAAAGCGAAAACACTCGGTCAAACCAGCTATGTGATTTTGTTTCGGACAGCGCTTGATTACGATGTTTTCTTTGCATTATAAAAATAATTGACCGAGCTGTGTATAGATTATCTTACAGGAAACAATTTGGGATCAAAGGTGCACCAAAGACGAAGGAAGCTGCGGAAAAAAAAAGCGGAAGGTAAGATGAAAACCTCATGCTCCAAACGCAAACAAAAATGACAAATGTGTCATGACCCTATTTTCGGTATCAGAGATCATCGATATAAGACCAAAACAGAACCTACAATCTATTCGTCGTGATACGCGATTATGATGCTATGCGATGCAATGGCTCCACCGGCCTTGTACACAAAATAATGCAGGGAAAGTGAGGCAACGCACCCCGTCGAGGTTGGTAATGTATCCCGCACCCCATGTCCAAACAGATTGCCAGATTGATTTGAACCTGTGCTGTGAACAACTGCGTCGTTTGTGTTGGTACCTGGTGTCGATGGCGGACAGAAGCAGAGGAACGGTTTTTTGCGCCAGATGGAGCTATTTTCAGTTAAGCTGAGCAGTATTTTTGCACTTTACCTACAAGCTTTATTTTCCAGATATGTCCGCTGGTAAACAACACGGGGGATTTGCTGGCATGGCTTGGAAAGGATATTAATCGATGCGCCTAGAATCTAAATAGTCTAGATATGGGTACGGGGTGCATTACCTCGACGGGGTGCGTTTGCCCCGCTCTCCTTGCATTATTTTGTGTATGAGGCCAATATTGCATCGCATTGCATCATAATCGCGTGTCACGACGAAAAGTCAGATTGCAGGCCCTATTTTGGGCTTATATCGATTATGCGCCCCGTTAACAAGGGGCCAGGCGCCCCGGGATTGCTTTGCCCGGTTGAAAAGACCAGGCCTGCTAGACCAGAAATTATCACTCCTTAGCTTTATTACGTAGTTCCGCACCAGCGTAAGAATGGTTTGGGCATGCAGAGTTCTTGGTCTGATGATGTCCCCGAGAGCCACAAGGCTTACACCGTAGTCATGGTGTTATAGCTGATGTTGAATGCTACTAAAGGAAGCTACTTACAGTGATGGTGGGGTGCGTACGATTTATATCTGGAGAGACCAAGTTGGATTTAGACGGTCGTTGGGAGATAAGGGAGTCCATGCACAGAACACAGAGCTGTTTTCAGCCCGCAGAAAGCTGACTCGATAATTCACCCCGAAACCTAATGTATGCCCGTACGTCGTCCTTTTTATTTTACATTCTTGGATTTTGGCTGGTTTTGGAAGGTGACCTGACCCTGCCTCTGGCTCATAGGTGTCGCTTAAGTTTTATGATTTGGGGCACGCCGGCTGCCGGCAGCTTGCTGCTTGCTCTTGATGTTTGCTCGGATTTGAGCCCTTTGATATCGCGCTCAGCGAAAAATGTAAGACAAATTTAGAAAACCTTCGAATAGCTTGTTCCGAGTAAAAGTTTACCGCCTTCCACAATCCGTTTCATTTATCTTGCGACGCCAAAACAAATCCGATCCGCATCACTCTCAGGGGTCCCATTTTGGCGTTTAGGAGTAAGGCTGGGCTGCTCCGTTACCCTTTCCTCGTCCCGAAAGCAATGCCCTGGTTACTGCTAGTAAGGGCAATTTGTCGACAGCACTTTTTAATAGAGAAACTCAAAGTGCTGTGGCAAAAAACTGGTTTGTCTCCAACCGCGGCAAGCGAGTGGCGCTGCTCAAGATGGGCGACATTTTTGGCGCCACCTCAAACCGCGCGGCCTGTCGCAGAAGAACCAGTCACGACGACTCCATAGTCAGCAGTGACCGAGGAGTTATAACCGGACCCGATATCGGGCAATGCCGGTGGCAGCGAGCTGCGGAGTGCTACAGAGGGCACGGCAGAGGATGGTGCAAAGTCGGGACCGACTCCAGCCGCGCGGACAGTGGGGTCAGGAACAACATCCAGTTCAAACACACACACACACACACACACACACACACACACACACACACACACACACACACACACACACACACACACACACACACACACACACACACACACACACACACACACACACACACACACACACATACACACACACACACACACACACACACACACACACACACACACACACACACACACACACACCACACACACACACACACACACACACAGACGAGTCTGTGGCCGGTCCTAGCGGTATTCAGAATCGTTCAGAGTCTTTCCCCGTTGCTCAGAACACCAAACCGCAACCGCACACGGCTACAGGAGAAATGGGCTGGGGTATGCTCTCCACCATGCAAACAGCCACTGCAGAGGGAAAGGCCCCGGCGAAAAGGCAGGGACGGGGAGAGAAATAGAAACGGTGCAGGAGAGAGCAGATTGGGGGCGTGGTGACGCAGAGGTGACGGAGAAACAAGACGACCTAGACCGCCAGGTGCTTCGTCTACTGTATTCAGTACCGCCGGTCTTGTCAGTCCTGGATTCAGTGCACGAAGTGCTCAAAATGGTCATGTGAACCGTGCACGGATGCTAGCAAAGGGCAAATATATTAGGTGTGTGGCTTCTGCCGGGAGTAAATGGAAGGCTGAACTGCCACGTGTGAGTACGGTTTTGTCAAAGTTTCGTTTTTTTTTTTGCTATGAAGTGTCAGTTTTGGTGCCCTGTGACCAGTGACGACTCGAGTGACATTTTGAAGCTTGTTGGAGATGTGACTTCAGGTACGTTTTGAGCTTTACGCTCTTAAGCTGAGCGTGTGAAACGCTGCGAAATAGATTACTCGAGCAGAAGGATGCATCACAGGCCTTTGCGGCGTGTTTAGGTGGACATGATCAGACAACAGAGAACGGCCCGTGAACGAGAAAATTTTTCACCAGTGTGTATCATACGCTCATTGATTATATTGCACGCATGCATTAAACACATAATTCGTGGACTGGAAACGCTTCATTGGACGCTTTTCACTCATGTCTGTTTGTCCCAGAAGCTCCGCAGATATGACCTCTTCTTTTTTATGGCATGGAGGCGTAACAAAATGCGTACATAAACATTTTAACAAGCGCTTTAATGGCTCGCGTCTTAAGGTTGTTACCTTGTGCGTTACGCGAAAAAAAAATGAGCCCTACAAGTGCCAAAATGAAACTTTCACAGGGGACAAGTTTTGCCTCAGTGCAGGGCGTGGTTTGCTCCGAGCTGGGGCAAAGGTTTCCTTTTTACGCCCTCGCTGAATTTAACAATTTTAGGCCCCAAAACGCCATCAATGCCTGCACGCTTTAGTGTTCAATGCAATAAAATACATTGACCCTGTCACTGACATCTAAGCTGGTCGGATTACGCGCCTCATTCCGAAGATTTAACCTTAAACGAAACTAGGGCTGTTTGGCACCACTCTACCACACGTTGATAGACCTCAGTGATCTGATTGGCACATAAGCACGCTCTCCATATGAAAGTGTTTTGCTATTATCGCTGTGCATATGTCACACACTTCTGGGGACATGCAACTTAACTATGTCATAAAACAACGACAGGACCTGTGCTCTAACATCATACCATGTCATGGATTAAGTGATCCATTTCCACTGACCGTCCGTAGTCACATTGGTAGACTCTTGCGATTCCTCCGTGATGTCCCAGGAACCAGGAGAAGTTGTTTATATGCTGAAATTTGGCTTCCCAACCGTTCAGAGTCTGTTGATATCAGATGCATTTAAGTTATAACAGTTGTCAGTTTCAAACGTATCGCCATTATTTGTCACAAAAATTTCGTCTAGAACAGTGATAACGTTAGGTCGCTCTTCTCATCGTACGTGCTGATTGAAAAATAGAATAAAAATACGGCGCGTGTTTTAGAGCATAGTTTTTAGCCCACTTCTTTGACGCAGGCAGTTGCTTTACAGACTAGCAAACAACGCCATTCGGCCACGATTTTCCGCAAAATGGTTGAAGTAACTTGATTTTGCCATGTCAGTTTTTTACTGATTCTACTGAAGGTTGGCGGAAAATTTTCAAACTACTACGCGTCTTTTTTCCTTCCAAATAACGTTTGTGAAGGCAATGCCACCTTCTGCAACTGAGCTGGCAAACAAAATCAAATCGCACATATGCGTATTTCAAACGGATGTCTCTGACAGCTCACGTTCAGAAGCCTTTGATGATTCATCATCACTATTTAGCTCTTATACGTCCAAAACGAAGACAAGCATCGGAGATGCGAAAATGTCGTCATTCACCGAGGATATCTCAAGCCCAAATAGACATCAGCAGAAACAGCTGGAAGCTGAAAACCAGGTGAAACATGAAACACCCATTTGTAAATCTCTTATGAGTAGATCAGCGGTCTCTGAGTCATCTTTTCCGTCGGCAACAAATACGACACCCTTTTCTGTGTCATCAACAGAAGCTTCACTGGTAAGTCGAGACACCAGTGGTACTACGGAGACCAGTAGCAAGTGGCTGAGGTACACAGTGATGGGTCTGCTTTGCCCATGCGTGACAGCAGGCGAATTTCCTATCGCCTCTCTGGCTCGAAGAGTAGTCGTCAAGAAGAAAATGTAGAGAATTTCTAAGTCCGTTCGCATTGTGCACGAACGATTATCAAGACTGCCTTTTTAATCCTCGTCGTTTTGTCACTGTTTGTATTCAGTAAAGAACTTGTGCTCTTGTGACCTATGACCAGCGTACAAACCAGAGTATATTTGTATATGTGTGCCAATTTGTCTTCATGGCTTCATGCGCTGGATGCAGTATGCTCAAGAAGAAAAATTGTCATCTGTGCTTGATGGTGCTATTCTGAGCCACACTTCAGTATAAGTGTACGCATTTAATATATGACGAATCGCTTGGCGCTGGCTCTAACATTCGTGTATACATAATATCCACACGTTTTGCTTGCATAAATGTAGTTAGGTGAGGTAAATGAAATGAATTTTCAGGGCCCTCGGTTAAATAATCGAATCC